CTATCACGATGGCCAGTAAGAGCACTGAAAATATATCTCCACCGAGCCAAACAGGAGGGAAAAATGCAAGAGATTATTTCCTCTATCAAGCTACGCAGACGGAAGTCTCACGTACTAATCTCCTTTTGGATCAGAACTGTCATACTACGTGCCTACAAGACTGCAGGATCGACCCTCCATGAGCTTCTAATCCTCATGATATTAGAGCGCTAACATATACAATGCTATTGAAATATGGAGGGTTATTTCTGGAGATCCGATATGGTGTTTGCCAACCACTATCTGAGAGATATCACCACCGAGGACGTCTCAGGTAGCCACCAACTCGGTCCCATGGTCCTCGCACAACAGTTGATAGTTCTCTCGAGAAGATAAGTCAATCTTACAGATTTTACTTATCTTATAACAGTACTAAATAGCTACATGCTATATATATTTTGCTTAAGTTCTTTTATTATCTTAAGCTCAGTACTATGGTTATTATATCATACAATATATAAGCTAACAACTCTACGGAGTTTGTTATTATATATTTAGCTTAAGTTAATCATATCTTAAGCTCAGTACTATGGTTACATTATAAATGTATTAGCCAACAAACTCTACAGAGTTTGTTTTGCTATTATATATGTAGCTTAAGTTCATTATATCTTAAACACAGTACTATACTCATATCATAAAAATATATTAGCTAACAAACTCTACGGAGTTTTTTGCTATTATATATGTAGCTTAAGTTTCATCATATCTTAAGCATCTTAAAAGCTCAGTACCGTGTGTTTATATCATATAAGTATATTAGCTAACAAACTCTAAAGAGTTTTTACTATCATATACTTAGCTTAAGTTTCATCATATTTTAAGCATTATGGTTACATTATAAAATGTAATAGCTAACAAACTCTACGGAGTTGTTTTACATTTAGGTTGCTTGCTAATTATATCTTAAGCACAGTTCTATAATCATACTATATATATGCCTACAACTCTTAGGAGTTCTACTATTATATATATGTTCAGCTTAAGTTTCAATCCTTAAGCTCAGTCATGTGTTCATTTCATAACATGTATTAGTTAACAAACTCTCAGTAGTTGGTTACTATTATACAGCTTAAAAGTATCATTATACCTTAAGCACAATTCTGTTATAACTTACATATATGCATATTGTAAGCTTACTACTTTGGTTCTATAAAAGTATTCATTATAAACTATCAACAGTTTATACTATCACATTAATAGCTTTAGCTTAATTAATGTTCTATATACTTTATTATTATATTCAGTAAATTGTAATAACCCTTATATGGCAACTGATAAGTTAACAGCAGGAATTCAGTTCAGTGCCTTCATGAAGTTCCCTTAGGGTTATTACAATTATCTCAGTTCAAATCACTAATTAGTAAAATCCAAAGTATATATAATCCCACCTCCTATTCCGTAGGATTCTACAAGCAAATAAACATGAGTCAGGATAAGGAAAAATATGAAATTTTTAGAGTAAAATTAATATTTTTATACTTATCCTGACTCATGAGGTAAGCCCTCCCGTCCTCCCCACTTAACACTTTGGATTTCCCTGGAAATTCAGGTGTTGGGCTCAGTATATGAGGAGAGAGTGAGGCACATGGGTTCAGGTGGCGCCCTCGTTCCCGCGCTTGTGGAAGGGAGGTAACTCGTGGTCAGTACTAATGAGTGATTTTTTATTGAAGGGAACTTCAATTGGGAGATACAAGTGTTCCACTAGGTTCGCCAGAAGAAGAAGACAAGCAAATAAACATGAGTCAGGATAAGTATAAAAATATTAATTTTACTCTAAAAATTTCATATTTCGTACCATCGGAGCTGTGTCGATAGTTCATTTTTCTGTGTCTAGACAGGCCGTATCAATCCGCCAGAGAGTGTAATAAGGGTTCTCTTTGTAACACCTCTGTGACATGACCGTCTCTATCTTGAATATCAACCCGCCAGAGAGCGTAATACGGGTTTGGTTGTAACACCTCTATCACATGACAGTCTCTATGTTGAATATCAACCCGCACGAGAGAGTAATATAGGTTTTGTTGTAACACCTCTGTGACATGACCGTCTCTATGTTGAATATCAACCCGCTAGAGAGTGTAATACAGGCTTGGTTGTAACACCTCTGTCACATGACCGTCTCTGTGTTGGCACTCTCTCATCATAGATAGGTACATGATAATATATTTTGAGGTACCGTGTACAAGAAACTATAAAAAGATAAATACGACACTGCACAAGTCCTGGTTATTGGCGGTTATCGCTCCAGTGTGTTTGGATTGTTCATATTTTCTATACGGGTATTTTAAAGCAGTGTAATTTGATAATGTGTCACATAGGATTTTATACAAAACACACAGGTGCAAAGAAATAAAGGAATACAACTTCATTGCAGTGTTGCTATATGTGTCATGTTGTCACCCACAGTCCAATACAAAGTTTGTAAAGACATCTGAAATAATTATGGAATACCAAAGCCTTGTATTCCCTCATCAGTTTCCTTTGCTATAGATATTGACTTTTAATGTCCCTAGTTGAGTTCAGTTCGCAGTCATTGTTGCATATAATATTAAACCATTTAAACCATATTTTCCGCTTGGCTAATAGTGGGACCCTGAAAATATGTCGAAAGTATAGAAACTATATGTTAGGTCCAGAAGCTGCGACGTGTTTCTGCCCCTGCTTAAACTACAACGTTAATCGTGATTCAGGTCGTAAAAGAATCAGGTGCGAAACCAACAAACAAACATAAATTGTGCTGTAATTAACTAATTTTACAAACTGAAACAAAACCCATACAAAGCTATCACGATGGCAGTACAACACTGAGTGGCAACACACATTCCCCAGGTAATATGACACAGGAGCAGTGATTATAGTAATCAAGACAATGGTGGTAATATTCACCTCTCAGTGACTGTATTCCAACTTGGAAGACAGGGCTAGCACAGAGTATCCAGAGTATGGTCATCACATACAATGCTACCTGTACAATGAATGTGCACTTGGGGCATTGTTTCACAATAAATAGCACTGCCACATAACGAACCATGGAAGCAACGCGTGTCAGGTCAAGAAACTATAGAAAGACCATGTGTCAACTTACAAAACTATGGAAAAACCATGTGATAGGTCACGAAACTATAGAAACGACACGTGTCTGGTCACGAAACAATAGAAACACCATGTGTCAGGTCATGAAACAATTATTAGAAACACCATGTGTCAGGTCAAGAAACAATAGAAACACCATGTGTCAGGGCATGAAACAATAGAAACGACATGTGTCAGGTCATGAAACTATAGAAAACCATGTGTCAGGTCATGAAACAATAGAAACACCATGTGTCGGGTCATGAAACCATACAAACGACATGTGTCAGGTTATGAAACTATAGAAACACCATGTGTCAAGGCATGAAACAATAGAAACGCCATGTGTCAGGTCATGAAACTATAGAAAACAATGTGTCATGAAACAATAGAAACACCATGTGTCGGGTCATGAAACCATAGAAACACCATGTGTCAGGTCATGAAACTATAGACACAACACATGTGTCGGGTCATGAAACAAAAGGAACACCATGTGTTAGGTCTTGAAACAATAGAAGCTACAAGTATCGGGTCTTGAAACAATAAAACAACACATGTGTCAGGTCACGAAAAGATAGAAACTATATGTGTCAGGTCATGAAACGATAGATACTATATAGATTAGGTCAAGCATCAAAATAACTCGGCTCAGGTTAGGTGAGCTACTGAATATTTTATTTTACAGGGTGAAACCTTCAGTTTGCCTTCCTTGGATATATGTGTGCAACCATTTACACACGTGACTGTAGATAAACATTAAAAGAACTTGAATGTGTAATTGAGTTGTACATATTCAAGCTTCAGGCGGCTGCATGGTGGACCCATGCCAGTACTCCAGTAGCTGTACTGACCTGACGACCCTGTACCAGTGTGACTGTGTCAATGGATCGGGAGGAGCTCACTGCGAGACGGGTATGTAGGCAGTATCTATGATGCCGTGTCTTTGCAGATGTGCTCTGCATTGAGCTGGCATTTAACTTCTTTCTAAGACTATCTACACAGATCAATTGTTTTACCTGACTGTTTATTGAATGATGAGATGGTAGTGTACATCTTATCGCACTTGGTACACTTGCTGACATAGCGCTGAATCTCACAGAGAAGGTTACTTTCGAAATGTCATGCAGATGTACTTTGAGATAAGCGTTAACACAACAGGAACTATGTTCATAGATGTTTTACAGACGTACACGTGGAAATATTCTGTCTTTGTCAGATTGATCTGGATGGTTTAACACACCATTGCTTTGAGTTCTGTAAGGGCCATGCGGCTTTTCATCACTGAGGTAGAGTCTGTTGGACCTAACTACTGTTATGGTGTCTTTCCAGATGTCGTCGATAGCTGTGCTAACAACAGCTGTGTACACGGTACCTGCGTGGATCAGCTGGAGTCGTACAATTGTACATGTGCTGAAGGATACAACGGTAGACACTGTGACACAGGTGGGTGGTACATAGCATAAAGTTGCAAGTTATGTCACACAAACACATCCAAGTGAGTGAGTGAAATTGAGCAATATTCCAGCAATGGGCGGGGAACACCAGAAGTTGGTTTCGCACATTGCACCCATGTGGGGAATCGAACTCGCGTCTTCAGAGTGACGAAAAAACTTTTAACCACTGGGCTACCCCATTGCCCCAAATCTAATATCGAAATGCTCAAGAAAAACGGTGAATATATCAATGTACAGTTAGTCATAGCATATTGCCGCATGCTGTTATTCATATAGTATGACCAGAAATTATTGAGAATTTTAGGAATATGTTTAATTGGATTTCTAGTATAAACAACCTTGACCAGCTACCAAGTGTTTGCTTTCATTCAAGGGGATAACCCGTTAATCCTTTTTCATTAGTTTGTGAAGAGTTATCCTCCTTTGTTTACTTGCTAGCAGACGACATTTTCAGTGATCCTCAGTATGGATGATTTAGAGAAGAGGAAGTTGATTTTAGAGTATTATAACAAGGACATCAAGATCAGCTAAAGTGATTTCAAAGTAGAACAGGCATCCCTTTGTCCACTGTTTATCGTGTTTTGAAAATATTGCAAATGGATACGGCATTTAGCACCAGGGAGGCGCAGGTAGGCCAAGAAAATTGACTATCGGTGACAGGAGGCGGCTTGGTATTCTTGTTTCTAAAAACAAACGAAGGAGTTTAGAAAACTTAAGGCTGGATATGATTGATAGAGGAACTGTGGCTGTCTGTTAGGAGACAATTAAAACTGAGCTGCATGCAATGGGTTGGCTTCGGCTTATCTGTGTTAGGGGAAGGTTGAACAACGCCCCTCTGGAGTATTTGAAGGAAATGTGAACAGTGAGGGGTACAGGGCATATATATCTCGAGGGACATTTACTTCCATCTGCTCACGTGTTCTATGGAAATTGTTTGGATTTTCCAGCAGGACAACGACCCAAAACATCGTTCAAAGCATTCACAGGCCTGGTTTCGGACCCAAAATATGACATTATTAGATTGGCCAAGCTATAGCCCTGGCCTAAATCCAATAGAAAATGTTTCGGGACTTATGAAGGAAAGTGTCAATAAGAAAATCTGACAAATATTGCTGAAATGAAAGAAAAGGTGGTCCGATATTGGGACAGCATGGACCACGACTTTCTAACTTCTTTGATCAGGAGTATGATATGCCCCGCCGCATTGAAGCCTGCATTGCTGCCCATGGTGACTTGACAAAATACTAACTGTTCACTGTCTTTGAATCTGGAGTTATGTTTTGCTAATATTCACATTTAATACGTGAGTAATGAGTGAATTTCTTTTTAAAAATTACAATCTTTAAGTTCTCAACAATTTCTGGTTGTACTGTAAATCCTAATATCTACTTGTTGTAGATATCGACGACTGTGCAACGAACCCATGTGTCAACGGTACCTGTGTCGACCACGTCAACAACTACACCTGTGACTGTGCACCTGGGTACACAGACTGGAACTGCAGCACAGGTGAGAAGTCTTGATGCAATAATTTTCAGCATTGGTCTAAAATATTTTCACCCGCTATATTTCTAGGGTCGGGCATTTAGTAAACCTACACTTACCTCTGAATTCATTCCCGTGGTTCTTGCAATCGAAAATTAACCCGCCCTGGATAGTTCATGCATATTTTACCGAACAAACAGCGGAAGAAGAAAAGGGAGGGAGTATGATTACCTGGAAATTAAAACCGTGGGCAGTTTTAAAGGATATCAACACATCCTGAAGACATGAACAGTGGCCATGTAGTTTTACCGTTTATCCCTAAAGATACTGTTATAGTGGGAACCCCGTTGGTTAGGACACCGTGGGCGATCATTATTGGGATGGGCTAAATCTATTCAATGCAAACATTAATGTTGGTCTGAATATATGGGTATCTCGACATGAATGGACGAGGTTGTGCCACACATTCCTGATCAATGACCCCAGCAACTTCAGTGGAAAGGTACATCATTTTCACATCAGAAGGTGAAAAACTGAAATTACTTGAATTATTTGCGAACTCTTAGTTTATCGACAAAATATGACAATCAAATTGTTCACGTGAAGTAGAGTGTAGAATGCAACGGAATCCTTTTTCTAATTTAACGTGTTAATAATCAGGATTTCATCAAGAAAGTGCAGATATTTCTTAAGAGTTTAGAAGTCCTCAATCCGACGACAAACATGCAGACTGAGTGAGTGAATTTAGATTTACGCCGCTTTTAGCAATATTCCAGCAATGTGACGGCGGGGGACACCAGAAATGGGCTTCACACATTGTGCTCATGTGGAGTATCGAACCCAGATCTTCGGCGTGACGAGCGAACGCTTTAACCACTAGGCTACCCCACCGTCCCTCTATAACTGAAGATAAGGAAGTCCTTAGTTCCGGATGAAATACGTGTATTTATTATTCACCAGTTACAAATATCACTGTTTTATATATCTGCAATGTTATTACCGACTGTGTAATAACATCGCGTGCTCCCGGAACTATTTGCACTCGGTCACATGACCAAAGTTACGTGATCAAAACAAAATATCTTCTGTCATACACAACGCATCTCGAAGTCGCGATATTCAACTGTTCTTTGCCGGGTTGCGTGTAATAGCATTTATATTTTTTTAATTTAATGTTATGATGGCGTAATGCACTCGTTCTGAAAGTTGAATTCTCTGAGATATTATTTTGGTAAGGCCATTAATAAGAAAATATTATAGTTTCTCATAATATTTTCCCAAAATTATGGGTCAGGCGGGCGGATTTTATTTTAAATTGTATTAGTTTTATGTCCCAAACCCCGTGATTTCTGTGGAAATTTTCACCTTTCTCCGATAGGTTTTGGTCTTGAAGGCTCCACTTTGTCGTGGATTAAATCATATTTATCAAACAGGGGCCAATCAGTTGTGGTCGGACAGTCACAATCTAGATGTCACAACATGGATTATGGTGTGTCACAAGGTTCGGTTCTTGGGCCGGTTCTGTTTACTGTGTACACCACCCAACTAGGCCATGTGATTGATAATAATTTGTCGATCACCACATGTATGCTGACGATACTCAGATGTCAGACTGTTTGAATCTTGATGATAGACAGCCACTGGCTAAATTAGAATCATGCACCATCCACATTGCATCCTGGATGTCAACAAACAAATTAAAGTTGAATCAAGATAAAACAGAAGCTATGCTTATTGTTACGTATGCAGTGGTGACGAAAGTAGGTGTTACGCACCTGTCTGTGTGTCACGAAAGTATACCATTTGAACCAGTGGTTAAGAATCTGGGTGTCTTGATGGAGTCCACGTTGAGTGTAGATTGTCATATACAGGAGCTATATCGAAAATGCTATTTTCATTTAAGAAACATCTGCAAAGTAAGGCATCTTATATCCCAGGAAGCTGCCGCTGCATTAGTTCGAACACTGGTATTCTCACGCCTGGACTATTGCAATAGCCTACTGTGTGGTGTGTCACAAGAATCTCTTTCAAAGTTACAAAAAATACAAAATACTGCAGCCCGAATTGTGTGTATTGCTCCAAAGTTATACAGCCAATTCTACTTATGTGAACTTGTAAGCCAGTATAATCCAACCCGAACTCTCAGATCCCAGTCCCAAATTATGTGCACAGTGCCTAGATACAGACTAAAACGATTTGGATTCAGATCATTTGCCTACCAATCAGCTGTTCTATGGAATTCTCTGCCTGAAGATCTCAAAACAGCCCCAAGCCTGCTCTCCTTCAAAACTCTCCTCAAAACGTTTTATTTAAGAAGTACTTTGTCTAGACTCTCACCCAAATAACTTTACTTGTAGCGCGCCATGAGCATACCAGCTGGCGTGCAGATTGGCGCGTTACAAATTCAACCATTATTATTATTATTAATATCAAAACTTAGAAGTGTGAAAAATGCATGCACATTTTGAGAGTCAACGTTGCATTTTCTCTTGTGTAAAATATAAAAGAATCTTAGGGTTGGGTTGAATTTTTTGACACACACACACACACACACACACACACACACACACACACACACATATATATATATGGCCTAATGTTGGATGGGTGATAAATAAAATACTAAACGAGTGCATGGTTTGGTATCTAAATCTCGCTTTGGCTCGTTAGATACGACACGATTCACTGGTTTCATAAATATGGTGTTACACGAGACATCGTTTGGTATTCTCTTATAAGAAATCTATTTAGCTACTAGTTATGTACTACTTTTGTGTAGCTTGTATAATATGGGAAATTAAACATAAAGACATATCGTTTCGGGCACACTGCATTGAACGGAGTTCATACGACACTTAATTGTCTGATACAACTACACTTCAGGAATAAGCTTCGGTATTGCAGTTTGGCCATTCTTGTAAATGAATCAGTCCTGTATTAGGTGGTAAAAGCCACTGATTATGTCCCTTCAAACAGAACCGGTCCTATCCCATTGGAACATTGAACCAATATAAATTTATAAGACTGTGTATTGGCAAATACATCGTATTGCAAGATATTGCAAATCGGGTACCGGTATTGCGACACGTATTGCGATATGTTGGAAGGTAAAGTGTTTGACAATGACTTTTACACAATTTATGACTTTTTATTGTTATCCTTGCTGTTTTGTCAATTAATTACGAAGGGAAACGTCAATGTGAATTAAGTACAGTTCACTCTACCACCATGTATAGTCTAATAAAGCACACTTTCGCTCTGAACGATTATAATTAAAACACGAGGACGCTCGAGTGGTAGAACGAACTGTATTTCTATTCTAAGATGCCAAATATAATACTTACCGAAAATTTAATAAATTTAAGGAGGGAAACAAACAGAAAAACGACAGTGTAGGGGACCTATATCAACAATCCTCGTTCAGTGCTAATGATGCGCCTTTCTATCAGGGGCGTAGCTACCATTATGAAAAACAGCCTGGGCTTAACTATGAGTGTTGTTAGGACGGTTGTGCAAGCCCTCAATACTATCTAAATATAAAGCTTTGCAACCTATCGGGCTTACACGAAAACATTGGCTTGCTACGCGCCTATATTGACGCGTCTGTAGTCGTCGAAAAATATAAACGTAATGTTACCACCAGTGATGTTCGCCGAGTGAAGCAACTGCTAACAATGAAACGGGGTGCTACAGAGTACTTTACTGTAGGAGGTTGTACGAGGCGATGACAACTGACATCGTGACGTCGGTTACCAAGGCTACGTTCGATTACGAAGGGCAGCCACACGTATTGCGATATGTTGGGAGGTATAGTGTTTGACAATGAGGTTTACACAATTCATGATTTTTTATTGTAATCTATGCTGTTTTGTCCAGACTAAAATGGCGCAGTGACACCAATAAGTTTACGTTATCGTCTGATAAAGTACTGTCGGCGCCTTTGATCTTTCACGGAAGCATCTTAGAATGTGTGGCTTTGAACTATAAGAGATAATCACAAAATATTCATATAATTTCAGACGATGTATTTAAACCAAATATTGCATCATGAATCGGTATACAGGTAACACCGTGTAGTCCTATACATTTACCTTCTTGTTGCTACATAAAACACTGTAGATATGGACAAGTACACAACCGCCCCCATGTACAGGACAAATCAGGATACAGAACATGTCCATAGAACACGTGACTATCACCATGCCTGAACTCTTTTCTTGTATACATTATGGCTTAATCCAATCTATGTCGTGCATTTCGGTTATGGCTTAACTTGTAGATATTGACGACTGTGCAACGAAACCATGTGTCAACGGTACCTGTGTCGACCACGTCAACAACTACACCTGTGACTGTGACCCTGGGTACACAGACCGGAACTGCAGCACAGGTGAGAAGTCTTTTTCTTTCTAATCCTCACCATGGCCAAAATGAATGCGACAAATGGAAGGAAGAAATATTTGGATCTATACGCAATACATTGATATAAAAGCAACACATGTTTTGCTGTAACGGAAACACTTGCAGTGCCTTAACTGATTGCCATAACACACGTGGCAGCATGGGTCATGGGTGCCGAACATGTTTTGAAATGCATCGCACCTGCATTAATGACCTACTGCATGCACCTACTTACAGAAATATGTATATGATGCAAGTGCACGTCTACAATCATGTCATCCTATATCTACATGTACACTCTTCAAAAAGACATTTCGGTTATTGATATGACTTGCAGATATCGACGAGTGCGCAACGAGCCCATGTGTACACGGCAGCTGTGTCGATCACGTCAACAACTACACCTGTGACTGTGACTCTGGGTACACAGACCAGAACTGCAGCACAGGTGAGAAGTTATTTTCTTCTTATCACAGAACGGGAATGGATTTACGCAGGTCCTGAACAATATGCCACGTCCATCACAAAGCTGTCACTGAGTGTCACTAAATATAAGTGGGCCAAATTGTGCAATATTACACACGTAACGGAGTGATCCCTTATTCTGTGTGTTATTGAGTGGTAAGTGAGTTTAGTTTTACGCAGCTTTTAGCAATACTCCGGCAATATCACGGCGGGAAACAGCAGAAACAGTATTCGCAATGGGCTGTATGGAATGTATGTAGGGAATCCAACCCGCTTTAATCACCAGGATGCCCCACCGCCCCATTATCTATAACTAAGTGGAATTTTCGAGCCCTGGGGGAACACCAGAAATGGGCTTCACACATTGTGCTCATGTGGGGAATCGAACCCAGGTCTTTGGCGTGACGAGCCAACGCCTTAACCATTAGACTACCCCTCCGCCCCACGTGCAGACTGAAATTTATTTAGGTACCAGTTAACGGCTTCTATAATGTTGGAAAAGCAACATGAAGACATGCATCTTTTTAGGCACACGGCACTGAACTAAGTTCATATGACAGCCAGTTGTCTCATTCAACTGTCATAACACGTCAAGAATAAGCTACCACCCTGCAGCTAGGCCAATCTTGTGAAGTAGCTTGTGTTTGATGGTAAAGGCCCCTAACAATGTCCCTTCAAACAGGACCGGGCCTATCCGGAAAATTAAATGTTATGGTTCTGATAACAGCAATCTCACCATATGGCTGGCAAGTAAAGGATTCTGATTTTGTTTTTACACAATTCATGACTTTTTATTGCAATGCATGCCTCTTTATCACTTAATTAGGAAGGGAAACGTTAGATGTGAATGTATAGCTTTGAACTTAAACCATAAGAGATAATCACAAAATACATATATTCTCAAACGATCTATCTAAACCAAATATTGCATCACGAATCGTTTGAAAAGCGAATTGCGGTATACCGGTAATACCGTGTAGCCCTATACATTTACCTTCTTGTCGCTACATAAAACACTGTAGATATGGACGAGTACACAACCGCCCCCATGTACAGGACAAATCAGGATACAGAACATGTCCATAGAACACGTGACTATCACCATGCCTGAACTGTTTTATTGTATACATTATGGCTTAATCCAATCTACGTCGTGCATTTCTGTTATGGATTAACTTGTAGATATCGAAGACTGTGCACCAAACCCATGTGTCAACGGTACCTGTGTCGACCACGTCAACAACTACACCTGTCACTGTGACCCTGGGTATACAGGCCGGAATTGCAGCTCAGGTGAGACGTTTTTCGTATTTCACACAGGTTTAATGTTCTCTATAACACTGGTAGCAGGCACCTCATTAGTAAGGAGATATGCACGGTGGAGAAGGCACAATTAACACTAGAAACTGTTTAGAGTTACTGTTACTTAGGTTTGCTTCTCACAGAATATTTAGATAACGCTAGGATGGCCAAATCTGCCGCTAATTCGGCCAGTAGGACGCTTGGCCTTTTGACATCTAAATACAAATTGCTTGGTGGAATGGAATATGGTACGTTCACAAAACTGTATGATACAATGGTTTGGTCCATCCTGGACTATGGTTCATGTATATGGGGCTCTTATAATATGTCTTGTATCAATGCTGTCCAAAATCGTGTTATGCGTTTCTTCCTGGGGCTTAAAAAGTATGCCCCAAATCAGGCTGTCAATGGTGAAATGGCATGGATACCCCCAGTTGTACGCCAGTGGGGAAGCACTGTAAGATTTTATAAACGTTTCTGTAACTTGCATTTTAGTCGTATTACCAAATAAATATTTTTATGAAGTGATCGAGGGGCGATCCGCCGTAAGCGCAATTAAAAATTCCGCATACATACTAAGTTGTCGGAATTAGGATTAGCCTATTTTATCCCTGTGAATAACTGGTTTAATATACATTTTATCTCGTCAGTGCTACGAGCTGGGTTGTATCAAAGGCATGTCGCGCAGTGGAGATTAGAAAGTATTTTAGAGCCACAAGGTCCGTCAGAAAAGGGAGATAATAAGCTGAGACTGTATTCTACTTTTAAGACATGTTTTACCCTAGCATTTTATGTCTGTCATAGCATCCCGCGAGCACATAGAATTGCATTACCAAAATTTAGATGTGGTACAGCACCAATCAATATTGAACTTGGCAGATATGCCAACATTCCTCTACAAAGAGAGAACATGTTTTAATTGTGTGAATGTAGGGACGATGAATGCCACGTTTTAATTTGATTGTCCAGTGTACAGTGTGGAGCGAAAGAATCTAATTGATAATTGTCTTAGAGAATTTGCCTCTCTCTCTCTCGTTAACACTTCTATTCGTTTGTACAGACAATTATACATCCTGGTACTATTGATTAATTAACAATGAAAGTGTTACATATATTTTTAGATATTGACGACTGTGCACGCAAACCCATGTGTCAGCGGTACCTGTGTCGACCACGTTAACAACTACACCTGTAACTGTGAACCTGGGTATACAGACTGAACTGCAGCACAGGTAACGGTCCTTACCCATCTCACGCAGTTTCTATGTTTAGTATAACCCCTGACAAACAAGACCACGTAAATTCGTAATGGCATGTAATTATAGTAAGTCGACCTCAATAGAAACCATTGTTAAATATACCTGTAATTTGTATCATATTTATCATATATAAACCGTGTGTTGAATACCCCTGGCTGTACCTTCAATCAGAAACCGATTCATTTCCATTTCCTACATTATGGCTCATTAATAGGTTGCCTCTATGTACTGATATTTACTTGCCAATCTGGCTTTAATAGCTACTTTACTATTGCCTATAAGAATTGTGTCCTGGGCTAGCCATCACCATATCATCTGTAAACTATAAATTGTACACTGTATCTTTTGTGGTTTTAAAACATGTTATTTTGTATCTTGCTTGTTGTTTAACACTACAATCAGCAATATTCCAGCTGTGGTAGCAGTTTGTAAATACTAGTAATCGGCCGAGACAATCCAGTGATCAACATCATGAGCATTTGTGGTCTGCGGGTCTGACCACCCGATCCCGTTAGTCGCCTCTTACGACAAGCATGGGTTACTGGAGACCTTCTTCACGGGTTTAAAATAGATGACCAAGAGTAGTTTGACACAGGCTGTTCCCTGACTGCTGGATTTTGCCCCTGTTTCTGTGTGTACTGTACAAAACAATATCTGAGATTCATGTCCTCGTGTTCATAGATGTCATAGAGGTCAACACAGACTGACCATACATCCTACACGCACATAGCCATACATGAACACATCCACAATAATGCCAGCAGACATGTACGATAGCATTCATTCATAACGTAACTGTAGACATCGACGAGTGTGCAACGAAGCCATGTGTCAACGGTACCTGTGTCGACCACGTCAACAACTACACCTGTGACTGTAAACCTGGGTACACAGACCGGAACTGCAGCACAGGTGAAGTTACTTTCTTCTTATCACGTACAGGGGAATGGACTTACGCAGGTCCTGAAGATTATGCAATATCCATCACAAAGCTGTCACTGAGTGTCACTAAATATAAGTGGGCCAAATCGTGCAATATTACACGCGTAACGGAATGATCCCTTTTCCGTGTGTTACTGAGTGGTAAGTGAGTTTAGTTTTACGCAGCTTTTAGCAATACTCCAGCAATATAACGGCGGGAAACAGCAGAAGCAGGTTTGGCAATGAGCTGTATCTGTATGTGGGGAATCGAACCCGCTTTAATCACTAGGATGCCCCTCCGCCCCATTATCTATAACTAAGTTCACATAATTTCAGTGCTAGACATTAATTTCATCCCAGCTGAGGACCGGTTATTAGGAGGAATAAAGGACACGTAACATAAAATTATGTTTTCTATAATTAGCTTCTCAACAAAATAATCATTTGAAGCAGAAGACCACGTATATTCATGTATGACCACCTATCTTACATTCGATATGAGCTCGCTAACTAGATTGTAGAACCGGAAATAACCCTTTTCTAAAAATGAAAACTTAAGAGTTCATTTTCTGCACTCTGTTTCCTTTAATCCTCATCTATTGGGGCGGAAAGATTTACTGTTTGTATCATATGTGAAATGAAACAAAATTCAGCAATCAACAACATGAGCATCTACGCATTAGGGACACGAGGGTCATGTGTCAACCAAGTCAGCGAGCCTAAACACCCGATCCTGTAAGTTGCCTCTTACGACAGGCATGGGTTACTGAAGATAATTCTATCCCGGATCTTCACGGGCACTTCTGGGTTGAATAGAAGGGGCGGCCAAATAAATTCATAACCATGCATATACTGAAACCTTTCTGCGTTGTTAGAGATGTCAAGAAGACGTAGATCAACACATGATGGTCATATTACAGATATATGTGAATAAATGATATGATTGTAGATATCGACGACTGCGCAAAGAGTCCATGTGTCAACGGTGCCTGTGTCGACCACGTGAACAACTACACCTGTGACTGTGTACCTGGATACACAGACCGGAACTGCAGCACAGGTGAGAGTCTGTTTCTAATCATGCAACAGGAACGTATATACTGCGATCATGCACAATATGCCCACATTTTTCAATCACCTAATTGTTACCAATTATCATAAAAACACACCACGTGAAGTGAACGTGCGACATGATTTGCTTTGCTATGATAATGATGGGTTTCCATTATTTGTCATCAAATTAGTACACATCCAAAGCAAATCAATGGCACTATGTTATACTTGTGGAATTCCACTGACATATGTCCTTCCAATCATGCAACAAGCATCAACACGATAACGTCAGCCCGCACACGGCAACACTGACGAACCAGTTTCATGGTCTACAATGTCCAAGAACTGCGTGGCCTCCAAGATGACCAGATAAAAAAAACCACATCGAATATTTAGGGGATGCTGTTCACAAAGTCTGCGAGCCGCCAGCAACAGCCCCCTAACCTCAAACAGTGGGCACACACACTGCAGGAAGAGTAGGTGAACTTGCCCCTGGCCAGAATATACATCACACAATTCCCCCTCTATTGTCTCATCAGTTCATCTGTGCACGTTTCAGATATTGACGACTGCGCCAGTAGCCCATGTGTCAACAATGGCACCTGTGTTGACATGCCCAATGGGTACAGATGTACTTGTCCTGGTGGCATCAATGGCACAGATTGCGAAATAGGTATCCTTGACTTTCAAAATAGTCCAGCAGTTTTGTTTTGGCAATGAGAAAAATGTCTTTGTATCTAATATACAGTATTACGTTCTTTCACCATGCGTCGTAGGAATATAATCACTTCCAGATTTGTGGTGCTTATCAGACATACAGGTGCACAATAGAAAAGACGGAAATGGAATATGTAGAAAGAAAATCATGAAAAGAAGGAAAATCGATTATGCAAGAAAACGATGGCGGCCTTTCTTTAAATCAGTGATTTTATGAGTAACATTAAACATCGTGTTGCAGGCGGTGATCCTTGTGTGAGGAATCCCTGCCAGAACAACGGGACTTGTATTGCTAGAGGCAGTGGTTTCAACTGTTCCTGCCAGGATGGGTATGAGGGAGACATCTGCCAGACAGGTACGTAATGCAAACAACGATCCTCAGTTCGGCAATGATTGTCGGAGGGTCCGCGTTATGATCGCATTTTCCCAAAACAGATTGACGCTGAATATAAAGTCTTCAATTACCTCGATTATCTACGAAATCAATTCCAATAGTCGTAAAGGGATGAATAGTGACCGTGAGGTGTGCTCTCACACAAATGTGAGCAACTACACTATACAGTTACAACTACATTTTATGAAATGCTGTTATAGCAGAATATAGGTTATTCACATAAGTAACCAAACGTGTAAGATTATATTCATTATACTTGAACCTGGATAGAATCGTCGAATACATCACCCATCATAAAAATCGTCATGTTCAATCAAATGGTTTGGATATTGACAGTCGATAGAAATCTATTTTAGCACGAGTTAAGAAAGGTTAAGAGGGCATTTATCTGCAACTGAGGTCACCCGAGCAATAGCAACAACACATATACAATGTGTGTGTTATGTGGCGGTGGGGTAACCTAGTGGTTAAATCTTTCCCTAGTCACGCCAAAGTCCTGGGTTCGATTCCCCACATCAGTATTACCGGAATATTGCTAAAACTAAGCTGACATTACACACACATAATGTAGAATAACTCTACAATTGCGGAACACCATCTTTCTGGCGATGGAAGCTTTATTGTTTTGGGTGGCATCCAGGTTGCCCAAAGAACTAATTTTCTGGCCATCAGGCGGGGAACCATGACGTACGTTACACAGATGAGACAGTATTTCCCAGCCACACCAAGCTGGTGCTAACACCGAACAGGAGTCGGAACGGATGTATCTCAGACCAGCAATATTACATTGGACACGCTCTGGAACTCGCCGGATAGCAGTCTGACTGAATATGCATGTCCTTCGGTGACGTATTTATTGCCGCCATGTTTGTCTCCAAGCACTGCATCAACATGAGTAGGATTTGCGGGAGATTAGCAATGCATTCCTCATTTGGTGAATGCCAAGATGTGTACAAACCAGCAGTCGTGCAAACGTTGGGCCGTTCATGGCTGCTCATGGTCCAGACCTCCAATTCCAACATGAGTGGCCATTGAGATCACCTGACCGTACTCCCATCGAAAACCTATGGGATGTGTTTGGAAGAAGTCTTCCTGCCTTGAGACTTCAATCACAGAATGTTCAAGAGCTGGGCGCAGTTTTGGTACAGCATTGACGCAGGTTATCTAATGCTGTGTTCAACTGGAAGCCAACGTTGCTTTGCTGTTGTGACAGCGAGAGGGGTCAACTGAACAAGCCCCAATACAGATGGCTAGCCCATGTGAAATCCAAAAGTGACCCAATCCTGCAACTGTTGCTTGTGGAGGGTGCGCCAGCGCACCATAAGGCCTAATCCTGCTTTAGTGTACGCTCATTATGTTCATAAACCAGATTTATCCACAAACAACACACTTTGTTTTGTATGTGTATGTTTGGGACATAAAGTAACACATGTGAAGTGGGTTTTTGTTTAGTGTACATTACTGAATCTGGTAAAGCTGTCAACAAATGGATGATGTGAAGCAATTATCTGAATTTCCGAATGTGCCTGAAACACATTTTACAGGACGTATTTCATCAATAGTGTGCATGTACACGTTTCTGGGTGCTATTATATTTCAAAGACTTTTTCAAGTCACGTTTGGTTATTGTGCGCATATCTCTTTGCTATTATTCAATTCATTAATTCTGCACTTACAGTACTAAAACATTAGCCTCAGAATAAAACGAGTTGCTTTACTTTTGCTAGGAGCGTATATTTAATACTGTAAGGAGTGCAAGTATTAAATTCTTAATGTACGTTTTATGATTTTAATTTAGTATTTAGAAACATCAAACTGGTTAAGCCAACGCTGATAGAATAACTGCTCATACAATTTAGGTTAGAAAAGGTGTCTTTTCTGCTTCGTCAAAGACATACAAAAGAGGAAAAATACATGGAAAAACATGTTCATAGTCATACGAAATGTCTGCCAAAAGCAGAGTCAATTGCCTGATTGTGACTACGTCATACACATGAAATAACTATATGAATCGCTGTTGAATGGTACATGAAGTGACGTGTGATTTTCGCGAAATGTGAGCAAATCCTGCATCAATATGTCATCCAGATGCACACCAGATCACAAACAGATGCAAAGGCATTTAAGTCTATTTAAAGCACGATGACAATTGCAGGAATTTTAGCTGGCATCATTGCTACTAATGCGTCAAGTCCGCCTGCCTTGAAACCTTTGGATAGCTTTACAGAGGTCTTGAATGCTGTGTTTGATCACACAACATTGGAGTAATTCACGGTATGCTCTTTAAGATCGTCGCAGAAAGATCAAGCTAGATTATAGAGAAAAGGCTGCAGGATTAATATTGCTGAACAGAAACGGAACGTTGACTAGTGGAAATTTGATGGCAGCTCTTTTGTCAAATGGTCTTCAATAAAACATGTTGATAGACAACAGAATTCCCTCCGAGAAATTGTAGAGATCCAGTAGCAGAAACCTGGCTGTGTTTCAAATTCCCAACAAGACGTTTCAATAAATTATGACACAACCGTAACGCTAAAGTTATATCTCTTCACTGCACAGTTCCGGACAAATAGAAGTTAAAATAAGATATCTTGTTCCGCATCTCTTGAGTATTAAGACAATACTAGACCCAAGCTGCTGAGGATCTTATATAGTTACTTTTATTAATGCGTGAAATGTTATGCCAAAAGACGTATCGCAATGCAACATTTAAACTAAAGATCATTACATAACCGATCATTTTTTATTCATGTCAGCGCAGTTATGGCAATAACGTTTAATAAGTAATACCTAATGGTACCCAAGGGGTATCTCAGTTTTCACAAGTGTATCATTGCTTCGTATCACTGAGAATTCAGAAATTCATTTATGATTGCCACAAAATACACAAGGTATTCAACTCAGTTTCAGGGAGTAAATGATTATTGTATGAAGGAAGCTATAATGAATGCATCTACTTTTGACAGTTTGATTCACAAGTCTTATTAAAAATATTCTGTTATGTTTACATCCGCAGGGAATACTCCCAACAGATATCAACAACTGGTGCAAGAACGTTGACTAAATAACTGATTGCGTCCACTAAATCCACCAAATCTGATTAGAACATGACTTTGAAGGTCTATTAGCATATATATGTTGTTTCTACATGACATTCTCATTTCTGACGACATATTATCTGTATCAGAGAGCCATTATTGATTCAATAATTACCACTTTATAGGAAATTAATCACAGGTGAGCTGTTACTTCACTGTCACGGCGAGGTAGGCAGCATGATAACAAGATATATGAAACATGTGACATATTTTTACCCGTGTTATAAAAGATATTTTTAATGTTGATTCACTGGTCAATATACCCAGGTTTCGACCTGGAACGATCTCTCATTATTTGTGAGAAATGAAAATGTTCCAACGCTCTCTGCAAACAAACATAAATATTCTGAAAATATACTCTCCCAAAATAGAAACGCATATAGGAATTTCAACTGTATTTTTATGTTTATTTTGAAACATCTTGTAGGCTTTATGACTCAATGAAGTATAGCGAAATTGCACACTGGGAATGCAGACCTATTCGTCTTTGGCACCAACTCGAGGAAAGCCAGTTTAAGTGTAACATGGAGACGTGTGGTGGCGCTGAAATTAATACCTCGTGTGACCACCGTGGGCATCCAGAACTGCACGGCATCGCCTCGGCATCGAACGAATAAGTCTCAGAATCTCGTGTAGCCCAATCGCAGCCCACTCTGCCTGTAGTGCCTGTGCGAGTTGCTGAAGTGTCTGGGGCTGAGGGTTACGGCGTCGCACCCGTCTGTCCAGGGCATCCCACAGATGTTCGATCGGGTTTAAGTCCGGTGATCTTGAGGGCCAGGGGAGCACATTGATGTTGTGGTTCTGGAGGAAGTCTCTAGTGTGACGTGCTGTGTGGGGCCTGGCATTGTCCTGTTGAAACAACTCCCCTCTGGCGATCAATGATTGAAGGAGGTGTGGACGTAGGATTTCGTCACAGTACCGTTGAGCTGTCAGGTTGCCCTGGATCATCACCAAATCACTTCTCCTACGGCAGGTCATCGCTCCCCACATCATAACACTTCCCCGGCCGAATCTGTCCACCTGGGGAACGCAAGCGTCGGCGAAACGTTCACGTCGACGTCTGTACACCCGCATTTTTCCATCGCGTCGTTCCAAAAGAAATCGTGATTTATCACTGAACCAGATTCTACGCCAAATCGGTAGGTTCCAGGCCTGAACGTTGGTGCACCATTGAACTCGATGTCGACGATGTTGTAGTCGAAGCACAAGGCCAAAATAAGGTCTTCTGGCACGTAAACCAGCCTCTCTCTACCTGTTCCTGACGGTCTGTGCAGAAAGCCTCCTCAATCCGGGTATTTGTCGGGTATCTGTCGGGTATATTGGTCGCCGTAGCTGTTCGATGACGCAGGTGATGTACCCGGATGTAGCGATCCTGCGCCGCAGTGGTCACTCGAGGTCGCTCACTACGAGGGGCATCTGCTACCGCATTCTGCCGGCGATATCTCTCCCAGAGCCGTGAAATGGTGCTTTGGTGAACATTCATGCGTCGGACAACTGCACGTTGAGACTGGCCAGCTTCAAGCAAACCAATGGCGATATGACGGATGGCTTCACTTAGACGTGGAATTTTGCGTTCGTCAACAATATTCCAAATACAGTGAATAATCGACAGACAGCGATCAACCTTTTATACCCATCATTGAGACTATCTGATCCCTAACTTTCACGTGCATTGCATGTGAATTGTGTATTCTGTAACACTACACGCCGAAAGTGAAAATCATCCTGTTAAATACGGGTATTTTACGGATGGTGCGTTTTGTTGTGATGTTTCAAAACATAAGCACCATAGGACTCATAAACAGAGCAAACCTTTTGTAAAATGAATCACGTTTTAATTCATTGCTACATGAAATTGCTATGTTCATGATGCGTTTCTTTTTTGGGAGAGTATATTATAGAGATGACAAAACTTTATGTATGATCAACTTCTTTATTTCGATTTTGATTTTGAAGTTGATCATTCATAAAGTGTTGTCATCTGTATACCACCAACTTCTAGCATGTCACTCAAACAAATGAAAATAGTATGTCATAAACATGAGTGGGAATGGAAACTGTACAGACGTTTTGAAAGCGCTTCATCAATGTTCCATCCCCGAACCTTTTTGAAGCAAATTCGACCAGTTTCACAAATCCTGTCTACGGAATTACTGATTCAGTTCCATTACACTATAACCGTATCAACAATGAAAACCATTTATGCCGATCTAATAACCAACGTGATACTTACGTGATATACAGCATTTCTATTGGACAATAAACTTGGCCCTTGACCGGTACGGAGGATGTTTGCCCCTTTTGAAGTACAACATTTTCGAGGCAACCGAGATAGACCCTTCTATGAAGAATTTAAAGTGTTCCAGGTGACCCTCTGTCAAAATGTTTTGGGTCAAGTTTGGAACATTCAAGGCCTCAGAGTAGCTCCAACAGTTCCAGCCTTTTGTGTTTACATTTCATAACGCTAAAGGTACAATCGAGCATGTTCTGTTGATCACGATTTAAAAGTCACACGACTCTTGCTCAGAGGCTGTTCAATCAAGGTAGCAACACCCAAGTCCCAGTAAAGCTTTCAAAACTTTCGTGAAATTTCAACAATCAGTGACCAAAACGATGTCCGATGCAATTCACTAATTTGACTGGTACCATAAATATGTTCCGTTGTTTTTCATAATTATTTACAATTGACGTAACTTTGCATGTGTTTGTGAGGGATGTTACCAAATGGCCAGAATATACAAACAGTTGTGTGAACTCTTTACTTTGTTTGAGTTATTCGTAAATAAATGCTCATGGCATATACCAGCAATTCTACTTATGTCGGATGTTCTCATGGTTGTGGAACGGATTTATACTGTTCAATAGTAAGGGACAACTGGCAAAAATTACTTTGGCACTTAAGAACTGTAGCTAACGGCTTGTAGAAAGCTGGCTGACGAACGATTGAAGACCTAACTCGGTGCCTTCGGTGCAAGTGACAGTCTGCAGCATACTGCTTGGAGTGAGTGAGTGAGTGAGTATGGTTTTACGCCGCTTTTAGCAATATTCCAGCAATATCACGGCGGGGGACACCAGAAATAGGCTTCAAACATTGTGCCCATGTGGGGATTCGAACCCGAGTTTTCGGCGTGACCAGCGAACATACTGCTTGAGATTAAATGTGTTTGCATATGTTACGAAACTACCTAACTTCGTTTTCAGATAACTTTATCCGACCAACCACTATCAACACTGCCCTTCCGACCAACATTAAAGCATTTCATAAAAAGGCAGAAAATGGTCGTAAGTATTTTTCTTAAGTACCTAACAAAACACTAACATTTATGTGGTTAACAAATTTATCATCGAATTTATGTGGTAAGCACATTTTCCACCTAGGTTTGTAGCGCACTTCTGCCTATAACCTACTGTCCACTTTTAGTATAGAGGTGAAATTTAGGATCATTCTGAAAAACGAGAAAACACTTCTTTTGGTTAGGGGTAATTATGAACCATTTTTATAGTGAACCAAACTGGTTGGTTCAAATACTTGTCACTGGGTTGACAGTGGGTTCAAATGTCAGTAAAGACGAATATCTTTATCAGCGTAAATGATTTAAATTTAGTCATCATCTGATAGCTTCACATGAATCAAAACGACCTGACCAACCACGTGGAAATGTGTCCTGAGTTGACGTCGGGACCACTGGAAATGGGACGCTGGTCCTCAAACGTAAAACTGAGATTGAACCTGTTCATGTTAATGATTCCGGGCGACTCATAACGTGTAGCTATACATGCGCCACCTGACCTAGTGAACACTATAGTCTGTTTGCAGTGAAAACGTACCGATGAATTTCGCTTTAAACAAAAATGTACACCAAATAAAGTGAAATTAAGTTTGCGAATGCTCATAATTTTACCTTGCCAATTGAGCATTTAAATCTCAGAATTTTATTCACCTTAGGATAGAAGTTGTTTAACAAACGAACATTGTTTCAAATCGCTATTATTGGTATGTATTACAAGGGGGTATATGCCAATTAAATGAAACCCCGAGAACAAGAAGGGTTGGTTGTCATTTTGACACTTAATTTTGATAACAGAAATATTACCAATACTTTGAATATAATTTAAGTAGGGTAATATCCTCGTAACTCTCCATTCGTTAAAATAATTGGCCCCACCGGGGCCTCGGCTCCATTATTTTTAAGGAATGGAGAGTTACTAGGACATTACCCTCTACAAAATATTCACTTAAGTTAAAGGAATATCCCCTTTATATCAAGCAATATGTCATCAGTCCCAGCTTATAACATTTCCTGATCACCTGGCAGAGTGTATACTAATCATTTCATCGTAAAAGTGGTGAAATCACTGTTATTGGTAAGTGTGTAAGACAGAGTAAAATATCGTAACGTTTTAAATGTACAGTCATGTTTATTGGCTGATCCGGTAAGGTCGACACGATAAGCAGAGTGTGTAGGACAGAGTATTACCATCGTAACGTTTTGAATGTACAGTCATGTTTATTGGCTGGTCTGGTAAGGTCGACACGATAAGCAGAGTGTGCACGACAGAGTATTACTATCGTAAACGTTTTGAATGTACAGTCATGTTTATTGGCTGAATCGGTAAGGTCGACACGATGAGCAGAGTGTACAAGACAGAGTATTACTATCGTAAACGTTTTGAATGTACAGTCATGTTTATTGGCTGATCCGGTAAGGTCGACACGATAAGCAGAGTGTGTAAGACAGCGTATTACTAACGTTAACGTTTTGAATGTACAGTCATGTTTATTGGCTGATCCGGTAAGGTCGACACGATAAGTAGAGTGTGTAAGACAGAATATTACTAACGTTAACGTTTTGAATATACAGTTGTGTGTATTGGCTGATCCGGTAAGGTCGACACGATAAGTAGAGTGTGTAAGACAGAATATTACTAACGTTAACGTTTTGAATATACAGTTGTGTTTATTGGCTGATCCGGTAAGGTCGACACGATAAGCAGAGTGTGTATTTAAATTTCAGCTAATGGGGAAACTCAATTCGTAAGAGGCACTGTCTCAGCCTGGCCATACAAGTCCGAGGATATGGAGTTCCTGGAAGACTGTGTTATCACGTGCAAGCAGGATGTGAAATGTGCCTCTGTGATCTACATGGACACTGCATCTACCTCACGTCGCTGCATTCGCCTTCAAGATACTCCAACAGGTTAATACAACTGCAAACGTACCACGACATACCCCTGATGGCATTAATACAGTCCCTAAGAGTAAATTCAAAACAATGGTAAAACTGATCATTTGGGTTCACATCCAGAAGTCTATGACATAAATTCTTTGAAATATTTTTATGCTTCTCATTTAGATATTTGTAAGTTACTACAAGTATATCTTTCGCTCCTTATTGTTTTTTAGTCTAACTGTAAAACATATTGTATTTTATCCAGTGCTATACTGTAGCCTTAGCTGGTATATCGTCGTTTAATGAACTTTTAATAATTCGTTTTACTTTATACCGGTTCAGAAATGTGTCCTTTTAAAGAAAGTACTTATAACATATGATAATATCTGTGTGAACTTGTGAGATAGAACATTGTTTATTTTAGCCAGATATCATGGATATTCAAATTGCCAGAACGATGTTTCAAATGTAAACCGATGTGTGTACAGTTGCACACACTATTACCAAGATGGGAAATGTAGCGTCTTCAGATCAAGCTCCTTTCATAATGAATATTTCAAAGAGTGATAATCCCAGAATGTTACATCAAAAGGATAATGTTGACCTGAAACAGAGTTTTCAGTGTTACTGATTATTTACGTTATGAGATGAATTTTGCAAAATCAGTTTGATATTATTACTATAATTTTGGCTAATTTGACCTGTCTAAAGTTTTGGTAATATATAAAATATGTTTCATCAATATCAGTAACTTCATAGATTATTCACTATTGACAGTTGGAACAATGACCTCCTGTTTTGTATATCGTATGATCCATAGTGACTGTATTATCCAGCTATAATTTAACTCCTTACTGCATTACACACTGTTGCCTCTAACTCGAGTCTTCAAACTGCTCTACCCATCGAAGTCTTTTACTCGGGTCTCCATACATACTGTATTACGCACTGTTGCCTCTAACGCGAGTCTTTAACTGCTCTACCCATCGAAGTCTTTTACTCGGGTCTCCATAGTGTATTACGCAATATTGCCTCCAACTGGAGTGTTTATATACTGCTTTACCCATCGAAGTCTTTTACTCGGGTCTGTATTACACTGCTGCCTCAAACTCGGGTCTTATAGGGTCTCCTTCGTCACGATATGGCTGAGATATTGCCGATGTGACGTTAAATATTAACTCATTCAATTATAGGGTCTCCAATAAGTTTTTGATTCTCCATACTGTATTACACACTGTTGCTTCTAACATGGGTTATTATACTGCCTTACCCATCGAAGTTCCCTTGTTAGGTCTCTACGCACAATTACCAGGTCTCCATCCTGTTTTACGCACTATTACCAGGTCTCCATCCTGTTTTACGCACTATTACGGGTCTCGATCCTGTTTTACGCACTATTACCGGGTCTCCATCCTGTTTTACGCACTATTACCAGGTCTCCATCCTGTTTTACGCACTATTACCAGGTCTCCATCCTGTTTTACGCACTATTACCAGGTCGCCATCCTGTTTTACGCACTATTACCAGGTCTCCATCCTGTTTTACGCACTATTGCCGGGTCTCCATCCTGTTTTAGGCACTATGACCAGGTCTCCATCCTGTTTTACGCACTATTACCGGGTCTCATCCTGTTTTACGCACTATTACCAGGTCTCCATCCTGTTTTAGGCACTATTACCGGGTCTCCATCCTGTTTTAGGCACTATTACCAGGTCTCCATCCTATTTTAGGCACTATTACCAGGTCTCCATCCTGTTTTAGGCACTATTACCAGGTCTCCATCCTGTTTTAGGCACTATTACCAGGTCTCCATCCTGTTTTACGCACTATTACCAGGTCTCCATCCTGTTTTACGCACTATTACCAGGTATCCATACTACAATGACCAACAAAGTCTTTTACTGATGTCAATTCAGTCTATCACTCATTATGGCTCTTATCAGATCATCAGAGGCATTATATAAAACCAACTCTCTTTTCTTGGTATTTGCTTTATTATATCATTTGATTAAGTAAGAAATATAGCCACAGAAAAGTCTATTTCATGACTAATTGGTAAGCATAACGTTTTTCGTCCCTGACAGTGAAAATGTAAACTAATGATAACTAACATTGCTACCATAGGCAGTATTTCTGTTACACCCGATCGAATTCAGGGATTATAACGACAGTAAACATGGCATATTTCAGTAATATCGAATTCATGAAAGCATACCATTTTTCATTCAAAATATGTTTTGACGACAGTAAACATGGTAAATATGTACAGGTAACCGATGAAAGAAATACCCAGTTGTCTGTTGTTTATATTTACATGCCATAGATATTGTCTACATACTTATTAGAATATGTTATGTAACAGTGTGATGCTGACACCTGGCCCTTGTTTATTTCTCCATAGAAACAAACTTAAGTTTTATGCGAATTTCAACGTGAGTTTGACAAACTGAAACAGATGAATTTTTAACTCAACTGTATTTTTAAAATAAAAATGCCCACACAGACTTACGTAATCTATCAACCACACTCAAATTGTCCACTATTGTACATTTAAATATCGATTACATTTCATTCTGGGAAATACATTTTCCTGTGTTTTCTCAAATGTGATTAAAAACTCTAACTTAAGTCTAAACTCAAAACTCAGACTTAAGTTTGTTTCGAGAAATCGGGGCGTGTTGTCATCACTGATTATCGGTGATACATGTATTGTACGCCACTTTTAGCAATATTCCAGCAATATTACGGCAGGAGACACGAGAAATGGATATCACACATTGTACCCACATGGGGAATCGAGTCCCAGTCTTCGACGTGACGGGCGAACGTTTTAACCACTCGATGAAAGAAACAATATATCAAAGCAATATGTTCTGGTAGAGATCGTGGTGCTGCCACTGACAGTGCTCCAGATTCACCTGTGTTGATGATATTATTCGGCTGCAACTGGATAACCGCTAGATTAATCGTATTCGTTTTGTCTCTGGCAATCATTCGTGTTTGATATTTCATTCTAGTAATTAGTTCCTACACATAGTAAACTTTACTATGGTAACTTTCAGAAAACAAGCATACAGACAGTTCTCTGACGCGCGACTTGTTTTCAGCGTGGTGCATTCAGGTGATAAATTCAGTAATTCAGAGTGATATCCGCTTCTAACTTCTGACAAAGGAAGTAAATGAAAGCATCGTGTGTGTGGCTAAATTGAAACACAATCACTTCCCTGTAGAGCACATTTGAAATTTAAAATGAAATTGCTCTCCATGGCATTTCAATTTTTAGTTGGTCATTTATTCATATTTTATTACTCATGTATATTAGATGTTATACATTATACGTGTTGTTATTTGTTATTTATAATGTTTTCGGATAGATGTCAATATTTGCCGTGTTCGTATTTAACCTAACCATTATATCATGTTATAATATCAGAGATTTTAGTGTTTAGCTGTGTATTGTATTCTGTAAGATCATGTATCAGTGTTTAATGTAGTCAAACGTATGCTGTCGTCGATACAGTTGTTAAGTTCACAATTATGTGCAATGTCATAATTGACATCACGTTGAACATTTAATGAACTCTTCTACCATTTGAGATAGTGTAAATCTTCAAGGTAATATTAAAGACAAATATGTTGAGGTTATGAAAATCTTTATACATCTTCTTTTATAGACTATTGAATTTGGGGAACTATTTTGGTGTCATTTCTCTAATGAATTTGAACAGTATGTGTATAGATCGTCATTCAATGTTTTAATATTATTGTGTGTCGTTATTTCGTTTTTGGATTCAAATGTAATCCCGATAAAGAATAAAGAATATATATATGTCATTTTAAGGTCACTACGAGTGTTGTATACGTAAATACAGACGATGTCTTAGTCAGAATCAGATTCAGGAGTACGGCTAGAAAGATTTACATCTGAAGTACGTAACACGCAAATGTCTGTTGATAATTTGAACGACCAAAATGTTGGCGTGTACAAAAATGGTCCATCAACAAACTTGGAATGATGTTGAAAAAACTGGCAAGAATATTCCATTCGCTGACTCATTATACCTCAGCATCTTCAGACTACCTTTGGGTTTGATTCTTACTATGATTATGATGTTTTATAACCATTATTGCTGACTTTTTATTCTTAATATAATTAATTTTAAATTTGTTGTGCTTTCAGTACATGTATTCTTGTTTGGTGTTGGCCATATTGCATGTAAACCTTGAACATTACGATATTCGGTTATTGTTGCGTTGCATCATTATCTCAAATATCTCCGTCGATCTATAAATGCTTAACAATGTTAAGGTAAAACTGAAATTCATTAATTTAGGTTTCATATTTCATGTATAAAGTGATAATAGTTAAAAAATAGTTAAGTATACGTGCGTTTCAAACCAAGACAAATGATGTTTGATCTCTGGTCAGCGTTTGTTTTGCTAAACTTTGCATTTGTTAAAAAAATTCTATTGATGTTTTACCTTTTATCGGAATATGTATCTATTTGAATCACACCACAGGAATGAGCACAATGGAAAATTTGATATATTCAAATCGTGGTAAGGAATGCGGTTCTTTATAAGAGTCTCGTTAAAAACAGCGAGTTTAGTCCTCTGGTACTGTTTATGTATTGAACAAATTAGTTCCTCTTGATCTTTCACATTCAGTAGGACATATTTCCATCTGTCTTTTGACGTTTTGAGACCTTCTCTTTCGGTAATTAGAAAAAATGTTGTTTATGTTCTATTTGCTATAGCTATAATTTCATTTCTAGATATGGCTTGGCTATCACTTTTATCAGTTTTCAATTCCCCAAAACAGTGTATTGAACAGTCAGAATACCTCTATCATAGATGATGTAACGGAACATTTTGAGATCGATTATTCATCAAACGTTGAAAGCTTTCCAAAAGAAATTATTGCATTAAGTTTCTAGGTTTTGATTAAGAATATCTGGTTTGACAATAATCAATTGAATATGATAATTGTGCACAATGGGGTTTTCTTTTCAATGATGTTTTTTAATAAACAATAGTTGTCTTTTTTTATTTTTCAAGTAATAAAATTTATATTATTCAAATTAACCAAGTGTTCATTTGTCATGAGTTGACACGACTCGAGCGTATGTCTCTTCAAAAGATATGCACCGGAACAATCGGCTGTGTAATCATTAATTGTCACTGGTTAAGTGGAACAATTTCACTGCGAAACAACATCTTACGCCCAAGAGACGCTCTTCCGTGGAATAATCGAGGATTGTCATTCTCAGGCGGTGACGCTTTACATTTGCAAGTGATTGGAAGGTGAGGTGTACAAGAAATATAACTCGATGACAATCGTTTTGTAAAAACAACATTGCATTAGGCATTACTCCTTTACCAGCAAGTAATGAAAAGCTCGCACACTCCCCACCTCATTCGTGTGCACACACACACACACACTCACAAACGCACGCACACATACACCACGCGCTCACATACACGTACATACACAACGCGCTCTCTCACACACGCTCTAGACTGCACACCGATATAAAGGTAGGACTCATTGTCAGTAACGGCCTCCCGGAACAAAAGTCGTCGGGTTCCATGGGAAGTATGGTTGCAAACAAATTGAAAGGAATTGAAACTGACGGAAAGACACCATCATTTGCTTACGGCTTGATTAACAAACAGGGCCATACCAGATACAATAGACGTCTCACCATGATCATTGATTAACTATGCTGTTGAAACACCATAAAATCAACATATAATCAACGAGGAATGTACACAATACATTACATAATCGTTGGTGACATATTGGGCATACGTACATTCTGCGTTGCAACTGTGAGTCTATAAGATCTTTTCCTAACACTTGACAATATACCAGTGCTAATAATTATAGTCATCTCAGCTTGTGTCTTGGGTTAACAATAGCTGTGAGCATATGTGACGATTATATAACGCACAACGAAAACGTGAAGTCAAATCAAAATCGATAGTAATCAGTATATGATTAATAGTGGTTGTGTCGACTATTATGTTTCTCAGCAGCATGCACGTATTACGTGCATAACCGATTCACAGGGTATACGGACTTAATATCCTTAGGATACTCTCCAGATACTGAAATATACTTACATTGGGTCCATATCGCTTCAAGACGTTTATATCAGTAAAATCATGGCGTCATTGAACTTGATGTAGCCACCTGATGATTTCATCACACAAGTTCACTCCCTTGTGTTGAGTACAATGGTGAGACTAAGACGTGTCGTATCACTCAGAAGAGACAAGTGAGTTTAGGATTTTCCCGGAAGGATGATTGCTGACTTTAGTCTGTGTTGAGTGTTGGTCCTTTCCAAGGCCTCAGGTATAAGCTGTGCAGTTCGCTTGCTTTCCTTAGTCACGACATGATGTGCTGGTGATTGTTTGCAATCCGAGGTTCGAATTCATATTGGTAGGTCAGAACCGTATCCGTACTCAGTACACAATAATAACATAACATGGTATTCATTCTTGTAGAAATCAGAGTAGACAAACGTAAATGTAAAGTCCGCATTATCCTTCACTGTGCATGGTGGGATGATATCCAATATATACCCTTATGTTCTATAATTGTGTATCAATGTATTCCGATGTTCGATATTCACACCTTCAAACCCCATCGATCACTGATTGGATGGCAGCTCGATATACATATATCTATTGTACAGGTAAAGCGCTGATGGCCCGTACAACATCGGAAGATGTTACCCACTTAAACCCACCCACTTATTCCTATCATTTGCCATATTTGGAAATCTCATTAATTTGTTAGTCATTACGAAGAATCGAAATTTATATTATATGATTTACACACAATATAGAATTCTGTTTTGTGAGGAAGGTTGGATTACAAAGAAAGGGTATAACAATATACATACATATATGACATCTTCCTTACTACTATAGAAGCGACATTGTGGTGTAGGTGATGGACAGAGTGTGTATTCCGTGGTCTATATTCAAGTGTGAGGAAGTATTTTAACAATCGATTCTATTTGGGTTGCAATAGCTTCATGAAGTCAGTTAACCGCACAATGATTAAAAATTGTAACAGCCTTGATTAAGGCTAACTGGCGGTTGGTGTCGACAGCTTCTTGGAGTTTATTGATTTTGAAGTCAGTTCTAAATTACCCAAAGACATGGTAGCCAAGGGGATAACGATGGGGCAGATGTTGGATAACTTGGATCATAATTACGTATCACCATTCTGTTTTAGCATTTCACAATGGTTTTCAGTCATGCTGCACTCAATTCATCTATCAAACCAGTTTGGTAGAGTGTCTACATTTTTTCGTCGTAACTAGTAAAT